CATCGTAAATTGAATTATTATCATAGATTGCATAATCCTTATGTGCTAGCTAATATATGCTCGTAGACTCCAAAGTCAATAATGATATGCATCAAGATATTTTTAAAAAGTGGAACAATATCCAAGTCCACTCCCTAATTTTGCCCCAAGTTCATAATTCCCAAAAGCATTGACATCTTTCTTTTCATTATCAAATACATTCTTTGGTTTCATTTAATATGTGAATTGAATATACAACTTTGTCGTCATTCAAATCCAGAATCCGTGTTCTAACCATTTCATTTTCTATGTTTTGCAGGTATATTTGATGTGATTGTTTATTTTCTTCGTGAACAAATCCATATTCCTTGCTATCAAGATTCAGTATACTCAATCTTCAATATTTTGTTAAGCTATTTGTTGAAGGCAACCTAGTGTTTTGATACCAAATGATGCAAAAAAATAAGGAAGCGATTCTATTTACTACTAAATTTTTTTACAACCCTTACTGCTAAATTAATCACAGTTAATTGCCATTAATCTAAGGGTTATAATTTATTGAGAATTAATAATTAAAGTGTGTCCAATAAATTATAACCATTAGATTGGCGAAAATCTATGGTGATTACTTTAGTAGTATAGTTGTAAAACTTTTCGGTAATAAATATTATCTCTCCCAATAAACAAATAAAAATGTGGCTAAATAGAAAGTTTGGATAGATAGAAAAGAAACACTCGGTTCTTAATTAGGGCTTACCAAAGTAACATAACTACTAATTGTACTAACTCTTTTATAGACTAAATACAAATTAATTTAAAATTTAAAATCTTAAACATAAGAAAAATTCCTAAAAGTAAACATAATGATAGTTTTCTTCTATCTGCAATTAAATCAGCTTATTATACCATAATTTCAAGTTTAAAACACGTCCTAAATCTTAAAGTTCAAATCATGTCAAATTTGTTTCTTTCCAATTATTGCCAAACAAAGTGCAATCAAATATGTTGCTTCATTTGAATTTGGATTTCATTATAATATATTAGATTTTAAATTATTGTTTCTTTGAAATCTAGATTCCTTAAATTAACATATTAATTGCTTGGCCATGTTAATAAGTCATTTCTAAGTGCATCACTTGGATTTAATTCTGCAAGGTGTTATGCCTTCATTTATTAAAGAAAATGAAAAAAAGGATGTTTTACAAGTATTGTTTTAAAAACTCAACTGGAGATTAAATCAACAATAGCTTTAAGCCTAGCGATAGTAATTCGGGATGACACAACGTAATACGAATACTAATATACTTAACATGTGTTTGGTTGGAGGATTGTAGTGAGATAGATAGGCAAATTAGAAGTGGGATTGTAAGGTGTCCATGTTTGGTTGACCAGCTTCCAAATTTGCCCACCTAAATCAGTTTGCTAGGTGACACATTTGCATGACTATTTGGATCGAAATTGATGGGCAAATATTCCCACTTTAGATGTGGTATTCCGCCTTATCTACCTAAATTTTCACATTGTCTAATAAGCAGATGACGACCTTACTCTGAAGAGCGCGCGAAAGAGTGAAAATCTCGTACCAAATCAGAATTGCAGAGTTGTTAGTTGTCACTTTCCAAAGACCATAGACTTGGACAGAGGAACCCGAAAACATGCAAGCGGAATTTTATGAAAAAATAGTCTCCACCATCTTCTTGTTTCTGGTCTAAAACCCAAAAGAAACCATCACTGAGCATGAAGGTTGGTTACTGTGGGAGGTAAGTCGGTGGAACAAAATTGTATATCATCTGTGTTTCTCGGTTTTTTCCACACAAGGATTGCGTTTTTCCCTTGATCCATGGTGTTAGATATTAATTTCATAAATTGCATGTAGGTGAAAAAGGTTTCTCAAGTCTTCACCTTGCGTTTTTATGTTTTGGATTTTTTTGGTTGGTGTCTTTGAATGTGATCGTTGATTAAGTTGTGATTCTGGGTACCCTTCATTTTGATTACTGGAAACTGATGATCAAAAGATTGTAACTTTGTATTGCGAATAATCTGTTTGTATCTGTGTCTAGTGCCTAATGAGTGTGATCCAGATTGTTGTTGTTTTTCTTTCAGCAAGTTATTGATCTACAAAGTTAACTTGTAACATTGTTTGCCTTTGATTTGTTGCGATTGGATCTTGCCTAAGCTAATTTGCTATTTAGACATGTCAACATCTAATAAACCTTAAGTAATGGAAAAGGATGCTTAGGATGAAAAGAAAAAGGAAGATGATGGGAAGGGTGGATTCCTTGATACGGTAAAGGATTTCATTCTGTTGGTGAGAAGATTGAGGAAGCAATTGGATTTGGAAAGCCAACTGCAGATGTTGCAGGGATACACATTCCAAAAATTAACAGGGATATTTTCGTAATAGCAACTTTTTTCCCATCTATATTTTACCTACAACCAAACATAGACTTTATAAAAGTTACTTAATTTTCCCGGTTAATTTTTTTTCAACCAAACAACTTTTTTTATATTTTCCTACCAAACTCACTTTCCTACCATTTCCTATGAATATCATTTTCCTATTATTCATAAAATTTCTCCTCAATCAAACGTCCCCTTGATATAAATATGACGAATTTGAAAACGGGTCAAAACTTTTGACATGGACATGACTTGTTTATTTTGTGGGTTGACATGACTAGACACGAATAATCTGTTAATCCCAAAATGTGTCATTTATTTTGTGAGTTGACACTACACAAAATAACACAATATGAGACGTCACAATACAAATAACCTGTAACAAGATTAAGGCAGATAAGTTTTGTATTTGAAAATTAATATGCAATATGATATGAGTTTTTTTGTGTCAGATTTTACCAACACCAACATAATATGAATTCGAAAATGAATCAATACGAATACAAATTTGTGTAGAAAATTGCCACCCCTATTTGAGCCATACTTTGATTTGTTTAACCAGTTAAATTAATAATTAATTAAATTGAACAACGTAAGAAATGATCAAATTAAAAATATGGCTGATTCATAGTCTAATTGATTATTTACGAGAGCAAAAACTTTACAAGGAAACTGTAATTCATTATTTCAAGAATATATATTGTTATATTATATTTTAAAAATTGAAATATTTACTGACAATAAAACTTATACATGAAATCTGATAATGGAAGTAATTTAAGCAATTTTTTTTATAGAAAATTTAAGCAAATTTACTTTCATTAAAAGCATATGCAGCCGTTCCATGGATGACTATAGACAAACATTGTCAATTATTTCAAGAGAAAATTGACATGATGGCCGTTCTTCGAATTTCCTCCGCATTTGCCATCTCTATACTTTTTTTATGGGCTGCTGGGTGGGAAGCCGATCGTCTCCAATCATATGGATTTTTCAGAATAGAGATTCTTGGTGCTTTGGTTTCTATCCAGTTGATATGGTTGCTTGCTGGGATTCTGGTATACGAAGACATTCATGAGGTGAATGGCTTTTAATGTTTATAGTTGCTGCATTTGGTCTAGTGGTTAACATCATCATGACTCTGTTATTGGGTCATGATCATGGCCAAAGCCATGGACTTCAAGTGTCTACTCATCACCATCATCATGATGTCAATCATCCAAAAGATTGCCACCAGCATGCTCATGAAGATCACATGCACCATCATGCTCACGAGGTTGCTAAACCGCTTCTTGGTGAATCAAAAGAGAAGGAAAGGAGATGGAACATAAAATGTACAAGGTGCTTATCTCCATGTACTTGGGGACTCTATCCGGAGTGTTGGAGTAATTAATGGGTGGCACAATGGGGCAGGGTGTTAGTTTAGCTTGATACTCATTACAACCCATTTTGTCACAAAAACGTAATGTTACTAGTTACAACCCATTCCGGATTCCGGCAGGTTTCAGCTGTGCATTCACTGGGCCACACAATTCCCCAGAAACACAGTCACGCACACGATTTCTCGACACGGTGAAAAATGGTCACATTTCAGCCTTTCATATTGTCAGATCCAGAGGAAAAAATACCAACATGGAGAAAATTCATAGAAACGTTTTTAACCAATCTTTCAAAACATGGAATCAATTTAACCGGTAGGAAATATCAAAATTCATAAGGAAAAACCTCCTTTAAAATGAACTTGTTTGTATACATTCATTCTTAATTTGGTTTAAAGTTGTATAATCACGGCCAGTATAGCCCAACTTAACACACTAAAAAATATGGCAAATTAGAGATATCCCAATTCTTTTATTTATTTTAACTTCTCGTATGCGAAGGAATAAGAGTTCTTAGAATCGTAATTCCTTATTTTGTTCCGTATGAATGATCATTCATTACTAATGAGGTGGGGATGATAAATTCTCATAGAATGGAATGAATTAGCTCTATTATATATCAATTCCATGTAAATAATTGAATGGAAACTCTTCCTAAACAAACCAAATACTTACAGGACACTTGATGGTATCACACATTATTTAGGACGCATAGCTAAAAGAACCATAAAAACCTACTAGACCACTAAAAAAACGAGAAGAGTTACCCCAGCTGACTCAGTTATATACATTGTACAAGGCGGTACAATGCCAAATAATAAAAAGGAAAGATACTACACCATTACTCACAGGAGAATATATACTGAAAAGAAGCATGCGAGGAAGAGAAAGGTAGAAAGGAAATGGTGTGTGCATTGCCAAATTGGTAGACGCGCACTATGATAGCAATCCAATATGAGTAGGAAAAGATAAACATGCTTTAATATATGTGAAATCCTACTTGGGCAAAAGCATGAAAGGCTCGAATAAACTCCAGCATCAAAGTCAATAGCTCAATATTATTTTCCTAGGAAAAGGCTAACAATCGTGTCATCCACATTAAGACAAATGCCTAATATCGAAAGAACATGATTTAATGTTTACCTGAATAAATACTACATTAGACTCCAAAAATTGTTTGAAAAACTCCAATAGATTATAAAACTCAAAATCTACTGTGATTAAGGATAGGGGTATAATTAATAAAACTAGCAAACACAAACTTGTACCTTCATAAACCAACAACTAGGTACTGAAAACATAATATATATCATTCGGAATATGTAAAGATTAAAAATTTAAACAAAACAAAACCACAAACATCTCAAGTTCGAATGTATGAAAACAACTAACTCAAAAACGGAAGGGCCAAGTAACATTAAAAACTAAGCGGTAAGAAGGACAGCACCACCGGCCTCCTTAATCTTCTTCTCGGCGATCTTGGAAATGAGCTTGGCCTTGACGACGAGTGGCTTGTTTTCCGGCAACACACCCTTCCCGAGAACCTTAAAGTATCCGAGCTGGGTGACGTCGATCAAAGGGGCAGTGTCCGTGGACTTTGAGGCCTTGTCCTTAACATCCTGGGGGACAAGAGACCAGAGCTTGTCGATGTTGACGATGGGGCAGTGGAACTTGTTGCGAAGCTTGTGAAAGTACCGCATGCCCACTTTCCCGAAGTAACCCGGGTGATACTTGTCGAAGAGGATGCGGTGGTGGTGCATGCCTCCAGCGTTTCCCCTACCGCCGGGATGCTTCCGGTGCTTCCCGATACGACCGTGACCCGCACTCACGTGCCCGCGCTTCTTCCGGTTCTTCTTGAAACGGGTCGTCATCTCTGTGTCTCTGCCCTCAGGTTTCGGCGCCTGAACGAAGGAGAAAGGTTAGGGTTTGGGTGCGATTTATTGAATGGGATGGGGGGAGGAAACATAAAGACTCTTTTACCCCTAGGGTTTGGAGTTGGGCTGTGTTTGTGATATGGATATAGCCCGTCAAATTATTACCCAATGGGCCTCATCTATCTTACTCCTTACATTCTAATATGAATTTTGCACGTGCTTAATTCGTACAGTTACAATCAAGTGCAGATTGAATCTAAGGTACTCTTTGTTTCGAGAAAAGTAAAAATTTGTCTCTAGTGCAGGTGGGATTGCTGAAACCCACGTTTGGTAGAAACAATTCTGTATATTTGTCCGTCAATTGGCTTTGCATAACAATCCACGAAAATAAGTAAAAAACTTACTAAAACACTGTTTACAAAGCCGTCTGATATGGTGGTATTTGTGTGAAAAGCGGATAAGTGAAAAAGTAAGATAAAAACTATAACAACTTTACCCCTCATTGTTAACCACATGTGACCAAATGATATTCGTGAACTACCCCTCATTGTTTTTACAAAGATACTTTTGTAATTTTATTAAGTTTTTCATCAATATTTTATCTTCAACCAAACACACATTCAGAAATTTAATTCAATTTTTCTGGTAAAATCTTGCCCAACCAAACAATTTTTTTAAAATTTTCCTATCTAACTCACTTTTCTTGCAGATCCCTAGTATTTACATTTTACTAATATTAAAAAATTTCTCCTCGACCAAAGAGTACCTAACGCTCCGCGAACAAAGTCACAAACACGACAGCATTATCATTATTAACGAAAAAATCTTATGTATTATTATTACATTATTCCTTATACACTTAAATTAATATTATTAAAACGCTGTCGTTTGGATGCGTTCTTTTGTGGTAGGTAGATGAAAGAAGAACCAAGCAAAATTCAGCTTTGAAGCTTAACCGCAACCGTTCCATTGCCTCGTGCTCGTGTTCTGATACACATGAACCACAACACAGCTTCCTCAAGCTCGTAGCTTTATCCGAACTGAAAACTCATCTTCTTCCTCTTCTCTTCTCTGCTACCATGCCTCTTCTAATAGCAGGAACACAACGTTCGTTACTTCCTCCGATCCCTCGCCATCATTACCACAACAACAACAACAACAAGAACAAGCTTCTTATCATAGCCTCTTCTCAGAAGCGCTTCCCTTTTGCCCCAACGCGAATTGTTTTCTCGAGGCACATTCGCGCAATCCCTCCTCTAAAGTCTGCGTCCATCAACGGGGTCTCCGTTCCAGAAGCTTCCAGCGAAGGCAATGCTGTTGAGTTTCTTGAGACAATACGAAAGTGGATTCGGTTCCTTCCTTCGATTTTTCCCGGTGGAAGTTGGTGGGACTTCTCAGACGAAATCGACGTTCAGGTACTGGCTCAGCCGGTGACCGTATGGCGCGCTCTCGCCAAAATGTGGGACCTTGTTGCTCGAGACAGATGGGTCATTGTCGCCGCGTTCTCTGCTCTGATTCTCGCAGCAGTGCGTGGCTTTCTGTTCTTTCTTCTTCTTCTGTTTTTCTCTCAATAATTTCCATGTTTTCTTCGCTAATCTTTGCGATTCATTTGGTGCCCATTTGGTGTATTTTGAAGATGAGATCAAAGTTGCGAACTTTTCTTATGTGGGTTTCAGGTTTCGGAGATTTCCATACCACATTTCTTGACAGCATCCATCTTTTCGGCACGGGGTGCGGAAGTTACAGTTTTTCATCGGAATGTGCGTTTGTTAGTTCTGTTGTGTGCAACTTCGGGAATATGCAGGTCAAAATCTTGTATGGTCAAATCTCCCTTCTACCTGCTAGCATTAACATTATTCTTCTTTTTTTGTTCCTAATTGCTGTTACTGAAAGAACCTTACATAAAGAGCGCAATGGAGTTGCTCTCCATATATGGCATTTGACCAAAAGGGGGTCATTCTATTTGCCTCTGTGTGTGTGTGTCCTGTGGTAGATGATGCGTTATGGCTTCTAAGGTTCTGATGACAGCTGTTTATTGTGACTAATCATATAGCATGTTGGATTTGTTAAGTAGATCAAAGTTAAACTTTTTTCTTTATTTGATGATTTTTAGTTCTGCTTCATTTGAAACTTTTTATCTTGCACGTGGGATGTGAGGATTTGTAACAAGTATTTTCTTGTGCTTCAGTGGGATACGAGGTTGCTGTTTTGGCATTGCAAACATGATTCTGGTTAGTTTCAGTGCCTGATATTTGTGGAAGGGGATTTCAATGGTTCATGTCAAATAGACAAGACCTTAGTAAAATAAGAACTATAATTATCAAATTAAGACTATTTTACTTGAGCAATGGCCATTCTGCAGCCCTCATTTCCAAATGAATTGACTTTGGGTTTTCTTCAACTCTATTATGCAAATAATTTTTCAAACTTTAAAAATATGTGCAGGTTAAGAGAATGAGAGAAACATTATACTCTTCCCTTCTTCTTCAGGTTCTGCTGCACTTAATAACTGATCTCTCCTGATGCATTTATTTACTTTCTGCTTTTGGTGTATGGTTTAACTCATTCGGCAGTGCCCTTATTGTAGGATATATCATTTTTTGACACTGAAACAGTTGGTGATTTGACGAGTAGGCTTGGGGCAGATTGTCAACAAGTGTCAAGGGTTATTGGAAATGATCTTAACTTGATATTGCGCAATTGTCTTCAGGTTGATTTAGTTATGAAAGATGTAATGCTCAGAAAGGTCTTCCCTAATGTTGGAGGCTTTAATTGGGTTTTTTTATCTTGTTAGGGGACAGGTTCACTAATCTACTTGTTGATTTTGTCTTGGCCTCTTGGTTTATGTACATTGGTGATATGCTCCATATTAGCAGCAGTTATGTTACGTTATGGAAGGTATGTTCTTGGCTGACCTTGATATTGCATTTTTTGTGCCTTACAATTGACTAGTGAAAGTTAAATGAGCACTGCTGCAGGCAGCATGTCTGAAGATAAATATATCAATGAGAATGTGCATCAATGCAAATCATATTGACTTGTTCTAAATTAATTCGTGTAGTAGACTCGAAAATATGTCAATCTGTAGAAGCAGAAGGATTCTCTGCCTTCTTCCCTAAACTTTGTCTGCTGCAATGATGTTTTCTGATATATTTATATATTGCATTTGAAATTTTTTTTTTGATTCTTTTAAGCTCCCTTCCAGGCTTCTACCTTTTTCCTTGTTTGTCTCTTTTATTTCACTGGTGTTAATTTGGTTATATATTTCTGCATAGGTACCAGAAAAAGGCAGCAAGGTTGATCCAAGAAGTCACTGCTTCTGCAAATGATGTAGAATAAGATGCCTTATACTATAATTTGTTTTATATTTTCCTAAATGCCATTGCTATAACAATTTTCTCATTATTGAATCAAAGGTATCTCAAGAGACATTCTCTCTTATTAGAACAGTTCGAGTTTATGGAACAGAAGAAAAAGAACTTGGAAGGTGATAGTGCTATTACAATTATAACATATTTATTATTCATTTGTTTCCATTTTTTTGCTTTTTTCACATGTATCTCTTCCATCTCTATCTACAGGTACAAATCGTGGCTGGGGAAATTAGCTGACATAAGCTTGCGACAAAGTGCTGCATATGGATTTTGGAGTTTTAGCTTCAACACTCTTTATCATTCAACTCAGGTATAGCCAAGGGTTTCTAAAATCATGATATTTATCTATTTTTATTTATTTCCTTTTTCCTTTTTAAACCTCTAATTGTACTGTTGGAAGAAAGTTTACTAGGATTGACAATTAATAATTTTTTTGAAGTTCAGTTAAACCTTTGTACTTGACTTATCTCTTATTGAAACATCTGCTCTTATAGGTTATTGCTGTGCTATTTGGAGGAACTTCTATCCTTGCGGGTCATATTACAGCAGAGAAACTTACTAAGTTTATACTATACAGTGAATGGTTAATTTATTCAACCTGGTGGGTGGGAGAAAATATATCCTCTTTGATGCAATCTGTTGGGGCTAGTGAAAAAGTATTCCATTTAATGGATCTCTCACCTAGCAGCCAATTCATAACAAGAGGCAAGCATTTCTAGAGCTATGTTCAACTATTTAATGAGTAATCAACTTCATTTGATTTAGTCCTTTTCATGCTTCCTTTGATTTTGCTAAGTTTACCACCTTTATGGGGACTGCATATCCCTGCATCTTCAATTCTCTTTATACTTGTGGATCAAGCATGAATATTTTCCCAATTTAAGAATTATGTGTTAGCTGAATTATAATTTTCATAGTGTAAATATAATGAGCTAGGCATTAGGCATTGACTAAACTGCATAGTTTACTTGTAAGGGATGCTCACGCACTGGTTATAACTTATAAGTATAAATTTTATAACTTAAGGTACTTGCTAAGATATTTGACACTATGGTGATTGTAAGCAATAAATGGGCTTTAAATTTTTTTTTCTTCCAGTGACACCTATACTGAATAGACTGGGTTGTCAGAGAAAGCTGACTCCTGCACTTATGGTCATGTGCAGCTCTCAATATATTTTTATTTTTGTGATAATAGTAATACATATTGGTTAGTTCTCGGTGCCCTTATAGTATGCAACTCCAGTATATGTGTCTATTCTTCACTTCACTTCTCTACCGATAGTATTATATAAATAAATAAGAGAAAAAAAAAATTCAGATGGTAGAAATAATGAATTCCTGCATAACTTTTTGTCCTCGTTTTAATTATAATATATTGAAGGGTAGGTGTAACTTTGTTGCAGGAGTAAAGTTGCAGAGGTTAATGGGGCGTATTGAGTTTCTAAATGTAGCTTTTCACTATCCTTCAAGGCCAACGGTAGGCCTCCTATTGCTAACATCTATTGGTTTGTAGATTTGAAGCCTGTATGAGATACTGTTTTTGTTTCTCAGTTAAATGAAGGATGAGTGCTGCTACCAGGAATAAAAAAACTTAAATTTACAGATTTTTAAACACCCCCCCCCCCCCCCCCCCCCCCCAAAACCCCTAAAACCAAAAAATGTGGATGCATACATTTTTCCCTTTTTAATAGTGTAAGTTGTGTGACAGGTATGTTGTGAAATGGTGTAGTATCTTAAGTCCTTTTAGGAAAATGAATGTTTAATATAAATAATGAATGCAAATGGAATTTATTTCATTTTGGAGAGCAAAAAGGGAGAGGGGGAGAGGATTGTTGGATCATAGTGTATCAGGATTTATCTAATTAGTCCTCATTATTCACACTTTGCTGCACATATCTTCAATAAAAATGCAATTCTCGAGTGAGCTCTTCTGGCACCACTTCTCTCTTTGGCATGACATTTTAATTAGTGACATTCAATTTGATTCTCCATCTACATGGGGTTAAGATTATCATTATCAGTTATTCAGGCTCAATTAATGGCAGACATTGTAACAGGTATCTGTTGTGCAACATGTAAACTTTGTTGTCCATCCTAATGAGGTGGTTGCAATTGTAAGAAACTGCTTCTTGTCTCTTAAATTAATTCCTTCCCTGCACTATGGCTAAGAGATTAATCTGCTGTTTCTTTTGGTTTGGCATAGGTTGGTCTTAGTGGTAGTGGAAAAAGCACATTGGTGAATCTTTTGCTCCGTCTCTATGAACCTACAAATGGTCAGGTAGAGTTTGTTTATCTCATTAAAACTGAGAGTGGATTTGGATGGTTTGGAATATGAGAGAAAAAGATACTGATCTTTTTTTGTACTTGGGGAGACTACTGTGTTTTTGCTAAATTTATGTAAATGGCAAAGTTGCTTCTTTGTGACCGAAAGGTTAGGGTTCAAATCCAGGAAATAGTTGCAAAAATACGAGGGTAAGACTGCGTACAAGGATTTCCTCACTCTATTCCCACAAGTCGGGGTTTAATGGGGGGTACCTTTTTTACTTTTTTGAAATCTATGTAAGTGGCTAAAATGAATTGTCTTCTACCTTAATAAAATGACCATCTTCTCTTCAATTAGATATTTCACATAACATTGTTGGATTAACCTTTAGAGTTGGAACAAGAAGTTTAAAGAGAGGGAATGGTTTTATGTTTCCTTCTTTTTAAGAACAAGGGTAAATGATATCATGGTCATGGGTTCTGAATCCAGCTGCTTAGACATTAGTTCTAGATTTCTTACTGCTATGTTATCAAGTTTCTCTTACTTGATTGCATTACATTCACCCAAAAATAACTCTGGTTGATTATATTTTATTTTATTTTTTATAATGTGAACTTGTTGAAATTAAGTGACCATTTTTCTCAATTGCAGATATTGATTAGAGGGTTCTCTCTCACAGAATTAGATATGTAGTATTTATTGCCAATTATACTGGCAGTATTCTGAGAGTGGATACGTTTTTACTTGAATATTATCTTAACACAAGGTCTTATTGCAGATTTTGATTGATGGTATCCCTCTTAAAGACTTGGACATCATGTGGTGGAGAGAGAGAATTGGATTTGTGGGACAGGTTCTTAAGTCACCAACATGGACAAAATTCAGTGACTATATATGTCTCTTTTCTTCTAACTAAAATTTTGTTTTTACAGGAACCCAAGCTCTTCCGGATGGATATTAGTTCAAACATTAGATATGGATGTACTCGAGATGTAAAGCAGGAGGATGTTGAATGGGCTGCGAAGCAGGCCTATGCCCATGACTTCATCTCAGCACTGCCCAATGGCTATGAAACACTTGTCGATGATGATCTGTTAAGTGGGGGACAAAAGCAGCGAATTGCTATTGCTAGGGCCATTCTTAGGGACCCAAAAATATTGATCCTTGATGAAGCCACTAGTGCACTGGATGCTGAAAGTGAACATAATGTCAAGGTCTGCTTTTGGAAACTACTAGAAGCCAGATGGCAATTAGTCACGCTAAATGTTAAGTGAGAGAAAGATTAAGAAAATATATTGATGCTTCAGTTTCCATTATATGTAGGGTGTTCTTCGATCTGTTAGAAGTGACTCTGCAACAAGGAGAAGTGTAATAGTCATTGCACATAGGTGATACTCTGGCTCTCAGTGTGAATTAAGTAATATTTTGATTATTAGTTTTGAAGTGTATGACTTGCTTTACAGGCTTTCTACCGTACAAGCAGCTGACCGGATTGTGGTGATGGATAACGGTCAAATTGTTGAGGTTTGTAAATTGTTGATTCACTTTGGATGTCCTTATTCTTATTAATATTCCTTTGTGAAGCTTATTATCCTTAATATTTTCATAAGCCTTTTTTTTTTGTCTTCATTGATAATGTAATGCTCACTCATATGAAAGGTTGGGTTAGAATGTCATACATGTTCTCTGTCTGTCAAATTTTTTATTCTTTTCATTGGATTTGACTCCTCAAACTCTTCTGCTGGATCATGATGGACATAACATAGGATAGGATCCTCCATGAAGACAGTAAATGTTGCCATATTTTTATCCGGTTGTTCAATAATGTGGGGATAAAACTCGCATTAAGTTGCTAACATAGAACTTATGAGGAGAATAAGGCTTCTGTAACATCCATGTGACACTGAGACTCTTTGGATTTCATGTGTTTGAATGAATAGCTATTTATTCTTTCATTATCCTTTCTTTTCCCTAATCTGAAACATAAATGTCATTAATTTCTGTCCACGCAGAACGGAAGTCACAGGGAGCTTCTCTTAAAAGATGGTTTATATGCACGGTTGACTAGAAAACAGGCTGATGCCATGGCATGATTTGGGTTTCTGTGGCAAACATTCTATTTTTCTTCTGGCTTCTTTCTTTTTAAATGCAGTATATTGGGGCAAGCAACTTTTTTTTACTTGCTGACCCATGTATTTATAGTATTATACAAGAAAATTGAAGTTTAGCAAAGAAGGAAGCTACAGCAGTTTTGGTTCGAAATGCATGGCGGCTTCAGAAAGATTTCCCGGTATCAGGTTCTTAGGCAGATGTAAAAACATGAATGTAGGTCCATTGGGGGGGTTATTCATAGTCAAGATGCTTTTAAGCGTCAGCTGTACTATAATATAAACTTTTTATTGTATAGCTGTAATTTAAATGTTTAACGCTTCAAGACATTTGATTTGGAGAATACCTCTTGCCCTTGTTTGATGCCACTTCATACTCAAATTGAAGTCTATAAAATTTTAGTTTTCAAAATTCTAATCAACATTGCTTTTCCCATTTCCATGGATGGAGAACTTTTAATGTTAAAAAGGGCTATATTACATGTTGAAGAAAACAAGTTTATCAGTTATATACAGTCAATCCACAAAATTGATAAATATATGAAACACCTTGAGGAATATAAGGGGAAAATACTTCTTTTGTTGTTGCAGAAGTATTTTCCCCGGCAATTGACTCAAATTTTTTATTTTTTTTTTAAATGGTATGGTGGATTCCACCTTTTTTTTGTCTGCTGTAAATCCCCAACTTCTGCAGTAACAGCAGAAGTTGCAAACCCTATAAATAATTGCTACAAGGAGTATGTATATTAGGATGAACATGTAGCTGCTAAATCATAGACTTGGTAAACAATTAATTCTATTGAAAATTTGAAACCACCGGTAAGTGCACCAGATGTTCCTTTCCTCACCATCCTCCAATAATCCAAGACTCTTTAGATATCTGATATAGGGGGTATTGTTGTTTGGACTGTGAATATGTGGCTACAGATATCAGTATGCGAGTCCAGTTGTTTTCCCCACATTACCACAACTTCTACCTTCTTCCAAAATTGGATTAAAATCTACCTCAAGCAAATTATAAGTCAATTTAAACTACTAGAAATAAAATGTGTGCTAACCAAACACGAAATAAAAGATAACGGTAGCCATGAATAAAGCAAAGCATATATCCATCAATCAGTATTTTCTAGGCGAATAATTATTTTTTATAGTAACAATATTTTCTTATAGAACGAGATTAAAGTAAAACTGCAAACCACTAGGATTGGTATAGTAATGATGGATTTGGGTAATTTATATAAGATCATAGGTTCAAACTTCAGTGTCATTATTGTATTAAACAAATAGAATTGCCAAATAAGTGGATATTTCCGTTAAAAATTTCTCTTTCCATTACAAAGTAATTCATCCTACGAAATGATTTAGGAGATACACCAAATCATAACACATCAGCACCTCCACCCTCAGCTCCAATTCCTAAGGTGAGAATCAATTCCAGCTCTCCTTGAGATGTTTTAGGTCTTACTGATGTTGATGATGAAGATGATGAAGATGAGTCTACAAAAAATGCTACTCATCAGTTGAAGATGTGAATGTTGTACCTGTTAATAATTTATCACAACTTGAAGAGCATATTAGAACTAAAGCTAACTTGGTCAAAACCAGCTCATTAAAGTCCAAAACTAGCAATGTTATTGACCAGTTGCATGATGATAAGCTTGATGCTTTTGAAAGAAGGCACAATAGATTTAATAGTTCCAGTTCTGAAGATAATGGAGGGATAACAAGATCTGAACTGCCCGGAAAGAATGTTGGTGTTGAAAAAGCAACAGATTATGAAAGCAGAAGATCAGAAAAAACTGATCAACGTTAAAATCAACAGATTACAAGAATGTACATGCGGAGCTGGCACAGCATCAAACCATGAAGTTAATTTTAAGGAAGAGTGGATGCTTTCTTATCTTCTCACAAGGAAAACTTTTGTTCTCACTCTAGGAAGTCTGAAGCAAACAAGCCACTTCTTACCCTGTGTTTACTAATGTATGAAGCATCGGTTTCATCACTGTCTTATAGGGTGAAAATATCAAGTTATGCACAGCTGGCCATAAGAAACAAAAATCACCTTTAGTATATAATGTTTAAATAAACAAGAATGAGGCATTTGGATTGCACAACTTTCAGTTGGAGGCTATGCTGAAGCGTGTTGTTCACTCGTTAGGCCTAGTGGAGCACAAAAGTCCAAGAAGAAGAAAGAACAAGGTTAGAGGAACAAAGGCATCCCCTGACTCAAAGGATTTTGTTGTGAGGATAGCTCATCAGGGTGGACAAAGGGAAGTATATCAACAAGCATTCCCTGCATCTAAGTTAATGGCAAAGTATCCTGGTATGTGTGTTGCCCTGCCAGAAGTCTTCAAAGCTCCTCATCAATCAGTGTTACAACCAGAAGATCGTTTGTTGCTTGGTCACAAGTATGTCATGATCTCATGTAAAGATGTGGAGAAGCTTAAGCGTAAACATCCACAGCAAGGAAAAACCAAAGAGCCTATTGGGGTGGTGACACTAGAGACAATGGAAGCAAAGATCACTGGGTCTCCTAGAGGACACAAACCCCAAGAGATGGTGGACACAAGTATAACCCTATCTCTCAATGAATGCAAAATCCTTGAGAAAGGGAAAGAGAAAGACAATGTAAAGATGAATCTGTCTCAAGGTAGAGGTGATGTAAAGGAACCTTGTTGCCCTGCAAAGGACTTGCATGTTCCCAAGGATATGTCGATTAGACATTCAAGAAGAAAAGGAATAAAAGGGAAGAAGCCTTTTGTGCCACCTCTTCCTAAGGCAAGAACATCTCGGGGTTTGGGATGGCAACCAAGCCTTGCCACTGTGCAAGAGCTCTCCCCATGATCTTTGTTATGGTTTTTCTTTTACAACTCCTATTACGGTATGGTATTATGCTAGCTACCATTTTTTCATGTTGTTCATTTATACGTAAGGATCTTTGGTAGATTTGAGAAAGTAAAAAAAAAAAAAAAATCGTGTACACAGATCTAATAGCACAGAAACGAGGTATTAGTTTTGTTGTATGCGTTTACCTTTGAGAAAACATTTATATGCATGACAATTGACATCTCAATATTAATGATTAACTTTCATCTTTTTTTCTCATATGGGATTGGTGTAGCAGCCCAGCCTCACCTCCGTGCAATAGCTCTCACCCATGTTTAATGTTTTTGTTGATAATCCATGTTGGTACTAAGTTAACTGCTGTATTTTAAAAGAAATGTGTACCTTAACAATAAAATTGAAATTTCACATCCTTTTGGATGTAATTACCTTCTATGTAAGCCCCTTTTGCTAAATTTCAGAAACCAAAGGAGTTTCCGATTGCCATCATATATTATGTTGAGACACATTTTCTGCCTTCCAGTCACATTGTTCAGCTATGATCATATTTATTTATTACTCTCAAGAACATAATTACTCAAATGAAATCACATTTTCTACAAAGAGCTTGTGTAGACTTCAAGAAGCCTTATTGAATATGACGAATATCAAACATCCAGATACAGGTTTATGTCCCTTGACCCATTGCTTTGTTACTCTATCACCGAAGAATGTTTTAACTTGTGGAGATAAGACACTGAATGAACATGAAGTTGTTAAATCCAGACGCTTGGGTTTTTCCCAATATTTTTTTGCAGACATGTCTCCACTCTCATTTTCTTAATTATTAAATTCCCGTCGGAGAGGAAATAGGCATAGTAACAGACTTACAAGTTTGAACTTTTAGGATCTAAACATAAAGATTCATCATTTGCCAAAATCAGGAATAAAGAGCTTCATCAACCAGGATACTGTGTCACCACAACCTCCCTCTTCTCCAATGTGTACGTACCACAACAAAAAATGATGTGAAAGATCACTGCTCGTGAATTGAGACAGTAAAAAATTTAAAATCAAAAGTATGTTTGGACTTTGGAGACATGTCGTTGTAGTGTCAAGGATGAATGTTCGTTTCAAATTCAACTACTTATATTCCAAAATTTGATCATGAAAATTATTTTGGACTACAAGGCTTCTTCTTCTTTTTTCCTTTTTTTTTGTTTGTTTGTTTGCATTTGATTTATTTTTCCTAGACTGCTGTTGAAGGCAACTCAGCAAGTGTAAAACCGTTGACTATGTGTGATGTATTTCAGTAATCATGTTGCATTAAAATCCTAAATAACAAGTGCGTACCCTCCTAATGCATTTGTAGACAAGAAATGACATAGCTGCTCCCATTAGTGGTGAGATAACCCATAAAGAAATCACCCCAGCCACTGAGCCCCAGAAAACAATCAAATAGCAAATAAATTCGTTGGATTGTTTGAATATATAATTTAAAAATATTCCATTTTTTCTTTTGGGTTATCTTGGCTTATTGCCTCACAAAGCTCTATGACCAGGTCCATCCTGAAAAAAGGGCAAGTAGATAGTAGTGCACGTGTTGCTTCTGTGAAGAGACATTCTGTTTTCTCTTCAGTGATACAAAGCAGAGTTCTATGTTTCCATTCTCCTCAATCCTTTAAAAGAGAAACACAATGTTTGAGTGCAAATACGAAGATAATTTAGTTTGCAAAAATACTAATCTTCAACCTCTGAGAACTTCTGACTGGCATGGAAAAAATGCATAGCATACACGTACGGACGTACCTATTCTTAAATCATCCTACACTGAATGATTATTCACTTATTGTTTCTAGCTACTACCTCACAGCAAGGAATACACCAATGTCTTAAAAACTCATGATCACGTGTTGACAATAGCCAAAGAAATGATAAAATGGAAAAGGATCACGTGTTTCCATGTCTTTCAAATCCCAACTCATACAATTGACCAAATCAAACACCTAAACAAGCATCTAAGAATGAACACTACAAAACCCTTCGTTGCATTATACCTTTCACATTGCTTATCTTATTCCCTTTCCACTTGCTTTTCGCCTTTACCATATAAGAAAGAAAAGAATTGAGCAAAAACTAACTACCCAAATAAGAAAGAACTTTCTGAAGTGTTAACCGGATTTGACATCTGTATTCTTGTAACTCCTGATATAGATTTTGGTTTTTTTAATCTCACTGAAAACTTCAGCAGAAGAACTCAATAATAATGGCTTTGCCAATGTCATTAACAACATATACAGAACCAGATCAACATATATACAGCCTAAAAATACATATCGGAGCAAAGTAGTTACCAGTAACCAAGTACCAACAGCAGCAAGTGAAAGAGCAAGCCAGCGAATAGAAGAGAATCTTTCCCCTGAAACGCATCAGCTACGAGAAGACCCTTCTGCATTGTGTTGCTCACGTGAGACCCCATCAACAATGCCCCTGAAAACTCCAACAGGTGCTGCTGTCAACACAGCCTGCCGAAGTGTCAAG